TGGCAGCGGCCCCACAATGTACTCCGTGATGTTGGGCTGCAGCTGCCGGCCAAACTGAACCACGACCCGAGCCTGGCGGGGGGGCTTGGCACGGCCCTGGTCTAGCGCCCGTAGCGCCTGCTCCTTTCGGGGCAGCTGCAGCTCTATCAGCAGGATGCTGTTCTTCTTCAGCTCCTTGCCCTTCGCTGGCGAGAGGCCCAGCTCCTTACAGGACGATAGGTAGTCGCGTACCGCATGCATCTCCTGGGCGGTGAGGTCGGCGAAAATGGAGGCACCGTGGTGAGCCCATTCCCGCGATCGGGGGCTGGCGGCTGAAGCATTTATTACAACCGCGAGCAGCAAGCAGAAGAACAACATGTCCACACCTGCAGAGACAGGCACGGCTTGATATCAACCCCCCCAGTTCCAAACACACTGACTGCATCTGCCTAAAACCCCCCCTCTCATAATTTTGTTTTTAATCTGTTTTATGAATATAAAAAATGCAAAAAAAATTCATAATATATGTTGCTACAAAGCCAAAGCCAGTTTTTGGTGCAGATGTACCTACGTGTTTTGCAGCCTGCTGCTTCTTCTACTTACGGGTATTCGTTTGTGTTTTTGTAGCTGTTCACTCCCTCTTCTGGTTCCCTGCTGGAGCACAGTGAACATGATATGTTCTGGAGCTGTTTTTAACAGCTCCCTCTCCCGCCTCCTCTTCCCAGAGTTTGTGATTGGAGAGTAGCGCATCATAAAATGATGAAATTCGCGAGCCTCGTTATAAATCATTAAACCACGTCATCTGCCCATTTTCCTGGAAAATGTCACAACCTTGTTTGATTGAATCGCCTTCTGAAATGGGGAATACATTAGGTGTGAAAAGTACTTGCAGAGAGCTGGGTTGAAGTGGGTATATTTTGGGAAAACATATTCACAGAGAAAAATGGCTTTTGAACAGCTAATGCACTGACAGTAATATTCTTAATAACAAAAGGTTCCTGCCCCAGTCTCTCCCCAGCTGTCATTTCAGTTAAGCACTTTTGCATATTTAATTAAGTATTATCTCATATAATTACCCAGCATTTTGATTATAATTAAATCTGATCGTACATGATTCAATATAAAGGTTATTATGTAGTTCCAAAAAATACTGGAGTAAGATTGTTTTTTGCAGTGGTTAACTAATCGCATTGAAGGTACATCAACTTGGGTGGGATGAAGACCAAAAGGCAGCTCTTGTGAGCATGTTCTTCCTCTCTCCAGGCTGCTGGATCCATGCATGGAATATGCTTTGGTTGGATGGAGGCTGAGCCCCGAGGACCCTCCAGCATGGCATGCACCCCGATTTGCTCTTCACCTGTCTTGGAGCATGCGAGAGAGCTGAACTCAGCACTTGGTTATCATCTTTACTGCGCAGACCTTGTGCCCAGCTGGGGGGGGGTGTGGTGGAGTGAAGGTTCTGATGACAGAAAGGGAAAGTTCACATCGATAATCGCTCAATTGGCTTTGCTGCTAAACTCAGTAATATTCTGTCACGTTTATGTATTTTGTTTAGAGTAAAGTATACTACCAGTCAAAAGCTTTTGCAGACACTGAGATTTTCTATATTTGCATGTTACTGACTTAACACTTGCTAAAATACACTCAGTTTTCTTTGCCTACAAATAAATTTACAGTATGTGCACCATTTACGTATCTTAATTGGTAAGAAAATGTCATATCTTTGATTCATCAAAGTAACCTCCTCTAGCAATTATAACACTAGAGAAAATTTGAGGCATTCATTCTACAAGGGACATTAAATACTGCTCTGTTTCATGGGATGGAACAGTTAACTAGTGTATTTAAAGTTAAAGGACAGCTTAGAACTATGCCATCACCACACAACCAGTCAATAGGATGTCAGACATTCATTATTACATACTTTTTCCATGTTATAAAGGAAACTTGTTTTATTTGACTTATATTTTCATTTATAGTTGCTCACTCAACTTTTCTATTCTTAACAAGAATAAAATATCTGCAGTTTATGAAATAAATGGAAAAGTGGTAAAAACCTGTGGTGTGTTAAAACTTTTGACTGGTAGTGTAGATAGACTGTGACTGGGTCAATGTTTGGTGCAAAGGTCAAATATCCACTGCGTCTGCATTTGCTGCAACAATGATTAAGTATTTACAGTTATTTTCTCTGAATTTCAAGGTGGTCAAAGGGATAAGATGGACAGTAGTAGAGAAAGAGAATAGCCTAGTGTTCTGGTTTGATGATTTGAATATGCGCTATGAACTTAATTGGGGGCGGGGGGGGGGGGGGGGGGGTAACGGAGATGATGGGGACACTACTGGCACCACTAATGGGGTGATTGTCCTCAAGGGCAATACCCCCTGGCAGCTAAACTAATTTCTCACAAATTTGTGTCAACCTTGTTCCTACGTGGTCACGACAACATCAATATTCATGACTCTTCTCTAAAAAATTACGTCGCCAGTCAGGGAAAGGATCGCACCAATTCTAGAAAAGGTCATATCCGCCCCACATGAGATTGTGGGACTGTGGGTAAGAAAATGAAAGCTGCATTACGGGCCAACTCAGAAATGACTTATGCAGAGCAGCAATCTGGAGATAATAAGCATATGCAGAGGAACGGGAGTACACTATTAGGGTGAGGTGGACACTGTCCTTTCACCAGAGGATTTATGATGTCAGAGTGGGGAATTGGAATGTTCTCATGCAGTTTTTTTCGATTGTTTTGGAACATTTTGTGAAACATACTTCGCATTCGCAAGAGCATTTCTCAAAACAGTTTATGCATGTAGCACAACACTATGGTTTAGCTGCAAAAGCCTGTAACTTTTAAACTTTTAAAACAATTAACTCATGTCTCAAAAGCAAATTATTCCACCAATGAATGAGTCAGTACCACCAAAATGAAAAGTACAATCAGCATCTTTTGAACCACGAGAGTCAAAATGCTTAGATGTATTGTCAGTACATCAGTGTATGTTCCTCACATAAATAATTCTGAATTATAGTCATTTCGCACTTTCTCATTATCACGGACTTATCATTTTTCTGTAGCAAACTAATTTATTCAGACTTATTCATGTCAACGACACCAGATTCCTCATTGCAAGGCTTTACATTACAATATGCAAAGTTCACTTGCTTGCACTCACAGGCATTTCTCAGATCTCAAGACGCAGTACAATATAACAACAAAATAGTCACACTGCACTATATAACACAAAACTGCAAAATGGCAATACAAGAACAACAAAACGACAATGAAATCATGTACTGTAGAACCAAAAACACAATGACATATCACTGTGATTTATGGAAGATATTTTTAAATCATTTTGAAATCTTAGTTAACTGTTTTGCATGTGGAGGGTAACATGACAATCATTCATATATAATTCGGGGTGTATATTATTACAATGAGAAACTACATTATCTATCTTGACCAACAAAACCAAAGTAACTGAATATTCTGCCGAATGATGACAATTGCACAAAACCATTTGCATATATGTACTAAAACATCTGGAAATTTGTGTGAAGCGATGACACAAAATGTTCTGCTGTGCAGACGTGGATTATGGTATGAGGATTACACATGATGTTTTGCAAATGTTAACTGCCATTTGAAAAATGCTCCAAAGCAATCAAGAAAATCTGTAATGACAACTTCCTGCGGGAAATTGGCTCCTAAAGCTCACTGGGGGGAGCAAACATGTTAATATATTTGTTTTCATAATTCTTTCTGTTCCTTGAGTCTTTGTGTGATGTGCTGTGGTGGGGGGCTTCTTTCGATTGGTGGGTGAGCATCAACAGTGGCAATGAAGACTGTACAAGAGCGCTAAGGAGAGTGGGTGTGTGCGTGCCTGAGTGTGTGCTTGTGTCCCACGCTGAAAGAGCAGTGGGCTGGGGTAAGGGGTGGAGGGGGTCGCAGCAGCTGTGTTTGTTGCCCAGATCCATGTCAAAAGGTTCAGGGAACAGTCTGGAAGATCCAGCACTCTCTACTATTGATGAGCTTTATTAAATAAACGCCACCAAGCTTTGCTCTTTATAAGATTAAAACGGCCGTAAACACCCCCCCTGCATCCCTGTTCCCGTGGGTCCGGGGGATGCCATTGGACCCTGGGGGCCGGCCAGCCACCCATCATGGTGGGACGGCTAATGGTGCCCGCGGCAGCTGTTTCAGGAGACTGCTCCTCCAATGGCCACCGTCTCAGATGGTGCGGGCACCCCCAGGGATTCCCCGGCCGTTTAAAACCCGGGCTGGGGTGCCGGGAGCCCCAGTACACACAGGACGGATCACCGAGGAGACACACGACACAATAAAGCTACGAGGGAGAGAAAAGGGGAATACAGGTAACCCAGGATGCTGAATTTTCATGAATAGATAGATAGATAGATAGATAGATAGATAGTAGTGTTCTGAAGTTTATTGACTTGAACAAACTCAATTCTTCTTCAGTTCCCATTTCTTTAAATCCTCTTTTTTTCCTAGTTTTCCACAAATATCGTGCCTGAAGAAGGCAAACTAATGGAAATAATAATAGCAATCTGTATATTTTTGTGTTAAGTTTATTCTGCATGCAAGGTTTCACAGGTACTTTAAAAACGTATCAAAAGTGTGGATCTGCAGAAGTCTAGACGTGATTTAGCCTGTGAGTAATAACCTTGGCCCGCCTCTGTATTGCCATTATCCCATGAAACCCACATCTTTGTGTAACTTGTCTCTGTTCTGCTTCAGGCTTAGCAGATGAAGTGGATTCAAAGTCGGCGCGGGTGATAATTAGTGAGTCATTTCACTCTTGTCGAGCTGAAAAGCTCTTCACTGTGCCATTAGAGCAGGAAAACTCTGGGGAGGTCATGTCACCACTTCTGGGGAGCAACGAGTTACGGGAAGCATTGTGAAATTACAGTATGGGTTCTTCTAGAATCTTCCGTGGGGGATTTCCATGTGTAGCACTAGGTTCATGAGTTCTTCTCTGCCCAGGCTGATTGGAGGGATTTTCCAAGGCAAACCGATCGCGCAAGATGGAAGCCCTGATCTTGTTGGTGCTGGGCCTGCGTTTGGTGATGGCAATGGAGACTGGGTGAGGGTCGGATTGTGTGACTGGTTCTGTGGTCCAACTACTGCAAAAAGGGCTTCTGGGGATAGAGACGGTGAAAACATTAAAAGAACAGGAGACAAGAACATACTTTACAAAGTGATATGAATGGGTGACTACATGTAGATTAAATATTGACTGGATGTTGCTGTTGACTACTTATGCTTTCAGAAAATCGATTTCTTCATTTCCCTAAAAAAATACACTGGATTGTTTCCGATCCTCACATGGCTCACTTATATTCTGGCTGCTAAAACTGTTGTTACTTGGAAAATCATTTGAGTCTGGACTATTCTTGCTGGAGAGTTCAATTCATGCCCAAGGTATTTGAGGTTTTTGCCAGACCTTTCCTCAACTTTCAACATTTTTGTGTATGTTCCAGGCACTGGTGTGAACACACCGTAGAGGAACAGGTGGAGAGGATCATCTCTCCCCGTCAGCAACATGAAGTGGACTGCTCCACCGTATTTCAGTTCAACCTGCAGGGCTGGAAGCTGGACGTGGACAGAATGCGGCACGAGTTCGGGGGGGATGACGGCATTGCACAGTATTACAAAAAACAGGGTCCTAGGGCATCTTGCTACATGTACAAGTGAGCTAATTTACCATTCCTTATAAATAATTACCCATTCTTGTCAATGGCACTGATTTTAAGAGTATTTACAGTGGTGGCCAAAATTATTAGAACACCTGACAGATCTGAAAATATTGACTTTTTTTTGCCTCCAAAACATGATTTCATTTCATAATGTCCATGAAATATGCAGATGGTTGTGCTGAGCACAACAGATATCAGATGAAGTGAGTCAAACAAGTAATTTGGCTTCTTCTGTGAAAGAACATGATTGTGTGAAATAAGCCTAGCTTGTTTTTTGTAAGGAACATGACCTAAATTTCCTTATGGTGGCTCTATTCTATGGTTTATAGAGCATAATGATGATTTCAACAAAACAATATTTTTTTTTGGAGATGGGCATAAATGCTTAAAAAAATCAGTTTTTTTAACACACCAGCAGAGGCCATTGACAGTGTGTTGATTTGTGGGTTAGGATGCAATGCCTCTTCTCTGGAGGTTGCTGATTCAAATCCCAGAGTTGGCAGAGTGATTTTACCATTGGTTCCTGTGGACAAGGCCCAGATCTGGGGCTGTCTGATCCTGCTTTCTCAATCTGAATGTCACTTTGGATAAAAGTGTCTGCTATATGAACGATTGTAGTAAGTCCCTCCGTCTGAGACCTGTAGTCAGAGGGCCTCCCGGGCTGTCTTCCATCGGTGCATTTTTGTTGCATAGAGATGTAACGGAGGGTACCGCCCGTGTGTTTTCTGGCAGGCCGGAGGTGCTGGAGAGGCAGCCTGTGAACCATACCGTGCGGGGGTGCTGTGAAGGCTGGGTCGGGTCGCGCTGCTCACAGGGTATGCAGACGGAGCACTGCTCTCAAGAAGGGGGGCTCAACTTCCAACCCCTCCCCCTAACCCCTGAAAGGCTACGCTTCAGCTTATGATCAGCCTGAGGAAAAACAACCCCTGAAAATTTGTTTTTTAATTCTCTTGTAAATAGCCCTTTATTCAAGACAGATAAAAACTTGTTCAGGTCCTTTGGTTCTTTGGCATTTTTGTAATATACTTCTGAAATACAGCTCGTGAGAGTTATAACAAATCAGACTGTAGAGGAGATGGGTCCAAGTAACTAGCAGAGGCAGGACCAACCAATCAGATGTCTTGGTCCAGCCTCGTCTGGTTGCTTGGAACCACCTCCTCTACAGTCTGATTGGTTATCTCTCTGAACCAATCATTTTTCCTTCTGCCCTCAGAACATTTTTTGTGTTAGTAAAAATTCCACAAGCTGAAATGCAGGGGGAAATATATACACTTTAAGGAACAATGGCACTTGGGATGTATAGCAGAGGTGGACATTTCAGGTCCGGAAAGTAAAAAATCCAGACCAGGATTTAGTTTCAACCAATGAGTTGAGCATAAAGAGTCACAGTTACTGGTTGGTTGAAACAAAATCCTGGTTTGGATTTTTACTTTCTGGCCCTGAAATGTCCATCTCTGATGTATAGTGTTAGACATAGGAAGAAAAACATAATGTCCTCTGTAGAGGACAGAAATACATTGATGGATAATTTTCTTCTTTGTAATTCTGACTCATTACATGCTATTTATATTTATTTATATTTCTATGTGTCTACTCCATCTTCTCCATCTTACTGCTCTAGGGATGAGCCCAAGAGGAATGTGTTACTCGACGTGGAGCTGTGAGGATTTCCCTGGGGTGCACAACTCCTCCTTAATGCCCCTGGAACAGTGCTGCAGCAGCCTGTGGGGCCTCAGCTGGAGAAATGCCTCGGACCACACCTGCCTTTCATGTGCATACACACTGCTGCCTGGTCAGTTGTGCTACAGCGCCGCCCTTCTGGTTTTCCTGGAGCATCGCGCTCTGATTGTGCCATCCATATGCAACAACCTCCAGAAATAGGGGGTGGGCTGATTTTTTTTTTCTTGAGAAGTTCTGCCTTCTACCTTAATTTTACACTGCAGACGGTCTTTTCAACCATTTAGTTATGAAGTGCATTTATTTTAGAAGATACAGAAAATTTAATTAGAAGTTTTATGTAAATACCTCATCGAAACAGGTTCAGCGTGTACAATCAGGAGCAGAATCAGCTTTATTTTCTTAACTTTTCATGTGCACGGTGCTTCTCTTTGATCTTTACTAATCAGTCACCAGTTTTGTAAGTCAATAAAAGTGTATATAACAGGCAGGTGCACATATTGCAAGCATGTGCAGACACTGATATAGTGTGTGTCAAGCAAACTCTCACAAGCCGCCATTAATGCTTCCAGCAGTCATGTGACACTGACCTCAATCTGCTCTCATAAACTAATAAAACTTTGATTTTCAGGCACGTTTTACTGAGAGGCTTTCAAAAAGCAATTATGCAAGGTTCAGTGACATATTTTATTGTTTTTATTTTCCACCGTTGTTCAGACAACCGGACTGATTTAAGATTAAGATTAAGATTAAGATTAAGTTTAAAAAACAGCCAATCTGACAACAACATGGTCAGGCTAGGCTAGAGATTTTGGGCCCCATGAAACACATCATATTAGGCCCCAAAACACAAATCAATCCAGTTATGTTGCAAAATTGTTAGGGGTCACTTGGGGTTCCTTGGAAATGTTCTAACTCCCCCTCACCCCCTTAGCTGCTCCCCTGCTTATCAGACACCATCTCTCTGTGTGCACAGGTTTCCAGTCCTACCCTCGGCTTCGTGGGGGGGCCCTAGGGGGGCTCTGGGACACACAGGGCTCTGGGACATGCCTTGCCTGGGGCGGAGCACACTACCGTACCTTCGACCGCAAGCACTTTCACTTCCAGGGCAGCTGCACCTACATCCTGGCCTCATCCATTGAGGGAACGTGGGCCGTGTATATCAGCAGTGTCTGTGACGGCCAAGGGCGCTGCGACAAGGTACCACCTAAAGCCTCGCAAAGCTCATCATTAATCTCCACCACTAACCACTAACTAATCGCTCTGCTCTCCTATTAGTCTCAGACCAGTCTGGCGGTGTCTAAATTATGGCCCCTCATTTGGTTTTGCACCTTTATAATAAGATTTGCAATACTTTTCGCTGAACAGTCAAATGCTAATATGCTAATATTTGGGGGCAGTGTGCGATTTAGTGGGCTAAGTCTCTGTGCCTGTGATTGGAAGGTCAACAGTTCAAGCTTGGCTCTGGCACGTCTGTGGGCCCTTCACTAAGGCCCTTAACCCTCAGCTCCCTCGGTGCTGCTATGGGCAGAGAACAAGATAGGGTAGCAAAAAGAGAATTTCCCCACAGGGATCAATAAAGTGTATTCATAAATATAATGCTAACTGGAGGGTAAAAATGCAAATGATTCCCTGATCCCTGACTTCCTTTACACCTGGGTACTGCTCCCAGAAACCGATATCTATAAATGGCATGACGGATGGACACAGTCGTTAGCAGCGGATAAAAATAGCTCTGCGGCAAATGAGAGCAGATTGTGGCGAATGGTGATGGATCACTGACCCAGCAGTGTCAGGCAAGGCACTGACTGTGAGCCTACACAGACAGCCGGGTCAGTTCTCCGCGTCATGCCAGCACATGGGCACAGCTAGATGCGTCCCCCAGCGTGTTTGAGGAACGTGGTATTCATGTAGCTTCCAGCTGGATAAGCCATTTCAAGGACTTGAACCCATGACCACTGGTTGGAACATTATTAATTGAACAAACTGTTAGTTCATAAAACGTGTTTTCATTCAAACCAATTTCCAATATTCTGTGTTCCAAGATGGCGCCATAGATAGCAGGGATGTTCAATAAATAATAATAATAATACATTTTATTTATATAGCACTTTTCATACATTTCTTTGTAACTCAAAGTGCTTTACAGGGAGCAGACAAACAAATGAAAAAGAACAGTAAAAACTAGCAATAAATACATAATAATACTAATCTAAAAAATGACAGCAATTTAAAAATCAATAGTAATAGAAAATAATAATAATAATAAGAAGGTCTAGCAATGACAAATCAGCCAACCACTAAATGCACCACGCCAGACAGGAGGTCCCCGCAAACCCCTCCGATGCAAAATCAGCCCTGCCCAAAACACAACCAGCCCACTGAGGGGAGAGGGGTGTCGACCCCATCCAGCCCCGCCCCCATCAAGTCTCACAAGCCCATAGCCCACGAAACCAAGCCACCGAGCAGGCCCAGACCCCACACGCCAGCACACCAACCGGTACAGCACGCCACGAGATCAGACCACCCGACACAGCCAACCCCGCACGGCCAAAAAGGCCCCTAAATCGTCCAGAACCCAACCCGAAACCCATCCCGCCACACACCACACCAATCAATGCGGCAGCGCGTAGAATCCACGCCCGGCCGGCAGCCCAGCCCCAAAGACACGGACCTGCGGAGATCGATGAGATAGGATGACGCCAGACAGGACAGACACCCACCCCCCACCAGAGGACCAGCCAAACCCCAGGAGCTACCGACCCCGCACCGAAGAGAATCCACAAGGCACCCTCCAACCAACACAGGAACACCCAATGATGGGCCGACCCGACATACCACGACCCAAAGACAGCAACACTTAAAACAAAAACAATCAATCAGAACAAGACATAAAAAGTGATGCAAATAAGAGAAATAAAAAACAGTGAGTTCTAACTAAAAGCCAGAGTATAAAAGTGTTTTAGCTGCTTTTTAAAGATATTGAGGGAAGAGGCCTGACGAATATTTATGGGCAGCTTGTTCCAAGTCTTAGGAGCATAAAAACTGAAGCTGCTTCTCCATATTTCTTATATTTTGCCATTGGAATATTTAACAAGGTGGAACCTGATGATCTTAAGGATCTATTTGGA